ATGTTAAATTGAAATTATTTATGATTTATTCATTTGGTGTATGGCGACGATGATGATTGTTTCGATGATAATGACGATTTGCATGATAATAAATTTCTCGTTTTTCATATTGAAATTGTTTATAATGTTCACGGGTAAATAAATTTTGAATTTGAATTTCATATGTTTCTAATTTTGATGCATCTTTTATACCAATGTATAATGTACGTTCATGAGTAATAGATGATGTTGAGAAGTTAATAGCTGTAAATGAAATTCGATGTTGTCGAAGAATGTCCTTTATATTTCGAATAGTAAATTGTTTATCAATATTTCGATGTTTAATCCCATATTGGTAATATCGTTTACGTTGTTCAAGGGTGCATGCACGATTATGTATTTTATGTTTTTCTTCTTTTGTTAATTGTCGAGTACGTTGTTTAGATTCAATATTGACTGGATTAGGTTCAACAGGTGGTGTTTGTTGAGGTTGTTGTTCATTATTATTATCTGACATTTGTTTATCTGAATGTGTTGATCATTCAATAGATTCATTATCATTAGATGATGGTATTGGTAATTCAAAATGTGTTGCTTTTGTTGTTGATGACGAAGTTATTGTAGTTTGTTGTTCTTCAAATAATTCTTGTTCGTTTTGTTCGTTGACATCAAATAACATTAATTCTAAATCATTATTTGTTTCTTCTTCGTTCGCTGGTGATTGTGGTGATTGTTGTTTAATTACATCCATAGCAATAAGAAGTTGATACATTGCATCACAATCATTTCTAGCATATTGAGTTATTAATTGACGATATTCGAATTCATTAGAATTTAATTTAACTAATTTTGGGTCCAGCCCGATATCAAATGGTGAACGTGTATAACGTTTATCTAACCATTTGTGTAATTCATATGCTGTTGCAGCTTGTATGGACCACGGGTTGTTTTCTTGTATATCAGTACATACTTCACATATATATATTTGATTATTTATTGATGATGTTCATACCAATATAATTTGAATTTATTTTGTAAATTGATATTTTGTGATAAATAAATTTGGTCAGATGAGAATAAATTAAATTCAATAAATTTTATCAGTTCATCAATTTGACCCCATATGTATATTGTATTTTATGTTTGAAATAATGATTCGAATAGTTGTTGAATTAATGTAAAAGTTGAAACATGTGGTCTTGGAAGATGATATGCTTCAATAATTAATATGTATGAATTTAATTGATGTGTGATGATTTATACTTGAATAAGTGCTGGTTTATTGGGTTTTTTGTATGAACCTACAGATTCTGTATCCATGATAAATAATGTGGATGAATTAATAATTTTAATTAATTGAATTAATGTTTCTTCTATTGCTCTATAATTAATAAAAATTAATTCATAAGATGATGGTTCAAATGGTGGATAATTTGAAGCATAATAATGTTCTATAAGTTTTTTTCGATATGTTTGACGAATATTTTTTCGAATTTGTCAAGTTATTGATTTTGGAATGGTGTTGTATTTCCATAATGTATCGTCGTATTCTTTTTGAGATACCATCACTACAAGAGAAAAAAATTTGTTGTACATTAAATATCGATTCTTTCGAAAATGAATCTTAAGATATTTAATAATCTATCTGGTTCCTATGAAAAATAGAAATCTAGTATGTCAATCTCAATAGAGTACGAAATGTATTTCTTTTCGATTTTCAATGGCCAAATAAAAATCTAAATAAATGAATATTGACATATCCATAAATTGCATTTCGTATAATGAAATAATTAAATATAAAAATAATTTCCCAAATTGAATATAATAGCCCTCCAAAACCAGTGAATGGGGGAAAGTCACACTCCCCGATCTTGCTATGCTAATTTATATTTAATTAGATTATTCTAATAATATAATTATTCCATAAAATTTGACATATCATTTGTACTTCGGATCTCTTTAATAAAGAGGTCCTAAAATTAATGAATACGTTCATAAATTGGAAGTAACACATCAGTTGTAACTTGACGGTGTAATATTGGTTTCTTGATGTGTTGTACAATAAATGTTTTTGGTATAAGATTTTCTATAATTCGGAATGGTCCTTCATAACGAGCATTGAATTTTGAATGAATGTTGAGTGTTTTAACGAGAATGAGATCACCAACATTGTATGATGGATCGGAACGATTGGTACCATAACGTTGTTTATATCGTTCTTGATTTTTAATAATATTAATTCTTGCTTGTTTATTTAATTTTGTTCAAAACTGATTAAGTTTTTTCTCGTGTTCGCTATCATGTGAAATTGTAACATCATTTTCTTGGTAATCAAGCGGTAATATTGGTGTTCGACCATACGTCATTTCAAATGGAGTTTGCTTGGTTGAGGAATGTGTCGACGTATTGTAATTAAATGTTACAAATGGTAGTTGATCATCCCAATCTGTTTTTATATATTGGATAAAGCTGCAATTTTTGTATCCATCATTGAATTATATCTTTCGACTTGGCCATTTCATTGTGGATGATATGGTGTTGTATATAGATGTGTGGATCCGATTTGTTTGATTAATTCATTCATAAGGGTGTGGGTAAAATGAGTGCCATTGTCGGTCAAAATGCATCGGAATGTACCAAATTTTGAAATAATGTCTTCTTTAAGAAATTTAACAACTGTTTGTACACTATTATCACGGACTGCTTTTGCTAGCACAAATTTTGATAAAATATCTGTAAGACATATAATATATTTGTTTCTACGACGAGATGCTGGATTAATAGGACCATGGAAATCCATCGACACTAATTGCCATACCTCCATTTGGAGGTCTAATTGGTCGTAATTTACCAGGAGCCTTTTGTCGACGAAGATTATATTGAGCACAAATAATACATGATTTAACATAATTATTGATATCTTTGTATATTGAAGGCTAAAAATAACATGTTTTAATTTTGTATATTATTTTATCCTTTCTGAAATGTGCATCATTTGGTGCAGTATCATGATAAATTTTTAATATTGTTCGACGAAGTTCACCTTGTGGTACATAGGGGACTAGAGGATTTAAACGACGCATTAAAATATTGTTTTTTATAAAATATTGTTTGTGTTTTTTGATGTTTTGGATGATATTCTTTGCATAATCATCATTTTTTTGAGCTTGAATTAGTGGTTCAGTTGAACAACTGTAATAATTCGATTCTCTTTCGTTGGAGAATCTGATACTAAATTTTGATGTATTTGTGGAATTATCCAATATTGTATTACGTAATTTAGAAGAGCGAGTGTCGACAACAGTAATAACAGGAAAGTATGGGTTATGGAATTCAAAATCAGTTTGTGTTGATTGAGAAGTAACATAAGTAATTTCATCTGGATCTTCTTCAGCATCTTCTACTGGAGATCTTGATAAATAATCAGGTATTAAATTAATTGAATCAGGAATGTATTTTACCTTGAAATCGTATTCTAAAATTTTTAATCTCCATCTTTCACAACGTTTATTGAGTTGTGCTTTTTGATTTAATTGTGTGAGTGCTTTATAATCAGTTTCCCATGTAAATTTAATTCCGCTTAAATAATTATGACATTTGTCTAATGCACAAATAAATTCATAACATTCTTATTTCATTGGAGACCATTTGCGTTGTGCTTGAGTAAATTTTTTTGAAAGATATGCAATCGGTCTATCGCCATCTGGCTAAATTTATTACAATACCGCACCGATTTCCTCATCAGATGCATTAGTTTGTACTTTAAATGGGAATCTATCATTTGGCAGTCGTAATATCAGATCAGTTGTAAGAAAATTTTTTAATTGTTGGAATGCTTTAAGTTCATCATTTGTCAATGTAATAATAGTTTTTTGTCCTTTATTTTCTTGAGTTCTGGTAGTTGGAACGAATTTTCTAAGAGGTTCAGAAATTTGAGAAATATTTAGAATAAATTTTCTATAATATTCAGCAGCTTTAACGAATTTACAAGCTTCATCTGTCGTTTGTGATAATCTTGTATTTATTAAACCATGTATATTGGTAAGACTTGGACGAATTTCACCATTTTGTATACGATGTCCAAGATAATCAGTTTGTGTTCGAGCAATTTCACATTTTTCTGGATTAAGACGAAATCGAGTATTTTTTAATATTTGACAAATTTCATTGAGATGTGATAAATGTTCTTTGAATTTTTTTTTTGAATATATATTTACATCATCAATATATGCTAATGCATATTTCCATCGTGTAGGACCTAACATATGGTAAATAACACGTTGAAATGTTGCTGGACCATTTGCTATTCCTTGAGGAAGAACTGTAAATTGATAATGATTGTCTCGCGTAGAGAAAGCCGTGTTCGGTCGGTCCTCTTTAGATAGAGGAATCTGGAAATATCCAGATTTAAAATCAAATTTTGTATAATACATTGCATCGGATAATTGATCAAATATTTCATCAATTCGAGGAAATGGAAATGCATCTTTAATTATAATAGCATTTAACCAACGGTAATCAATGCAAAATCGCATGGTTTTGTCTTTTTTCTTAACAAGAACGATCGGTGATGACCATGGAGAAGTTGATTCTTCAATTTGACCACGTTCTAATAATTTTTGTGTTTCTTGAAATTTAATGTCTAGATCTTTGTATGAAGCTGGATATTGTTTTGAATAGATAGGTGGATGATCACCAGTTCTAATTGCCAATTGTGGAGGAATATTAATAATTGACGACGAAGGATCAAAAAATATTTTATTTTGCCACAATATAACTTGAATTGCTAATTGATGTTTTGGATTTTTTACATGAGCAGTCGATTCGAATATTTGCTTTCGAATCTGGTCGGAATAACATTGTGCTCGTAGATGCTTTTGTAAGTCATTACCAGATAAAAAAATGTTCATTACATTAATGGCAACGATTATTCCGTATAGTTTGGTCCGAGTTATCTTTATCGTATGAGATAGCTCTTGTTTTAAAAATTTTAGACTTTCGAAGTGATTGATGATGTAACGGCGTTTCGGATTTTGTCGAATCTTGTATTATAGCACGTATCGAGAATGTTGTATCATATGATATGGTTCCAATGTGTGTATTTTTCGGTAATGTCTGTTGCCGATTTTGAACATTTATTAGTAGAATTTTTGCTTGATGGTTATTAACATTTAATAGTGTATGTGGTATAAACATAAATTTTGAAATATAACGATCATATGGTTCGAACATTAAATTGTTGGCATTGCTAATTTGGGAAGTGATATCGACTAATGTTTGTGAATAAGGAGGAATAGAGCCGGATAATTGATGGAAGGCGGTTCGGTGTATTAGATTTGAGTTAATTGACCATATTGATCAGGAATAGTTAAGTGATTCTGGTCGCCAAACAGATGAACATGATTAGAATTAATCCAGTCATTGTCTAATAGAATTGATGTAATTAAATTTGTTGCGACATAAGCAGTGACATAAGTTTTAATATGTTTCATTTGAATTTCTAATTCAATTTGTCCAATAATTTTGAGAGGAGTTGAATTTGCTGTTTCACATATTCGGGTTTTATAAATAAATTTGTTGCGTTGAATGGTTTTGAGGAAATTTAAATGAATGATGGAGATGGCGGATCCTATATCAACAATTGCTTCATTTGGTTGATCATTAACACGGATTTTGATGTAAATTGGGGATAAGGATATTGTTGATGACTTGATAAATTTACTGCGAACACCGCCACCATGGGACCCAGCTATTGAAAATTTGGAGGTAATATACAATCACGGGCGTTGTGATTTTAACCACAATTAAAACATCCGGTTGTGAGTTTATGTTAACAATCAATTGTCCGATGATTTTTGCGACCACAAACTTTACAGTTATTGAATTGATGTTGTGATGTGGATCCAGTATTGATTGGATTCTGCTTTAATGTTGATTGTGATGTATAATTCTGAATTTGTTTTGTATTATGTATTGTTGATGTTCGATTTCCAAGTGCTGGAACCGAGTTCCGTCGAGAAACAGAGCTCTGTAATTGTGTTGAATGTGAACTGGGATTGTTGTGTTTTATTTTATGATAATACTGTTTCGATGGATTGACTGTAGCAGTTAATGATGGAATTGATGGACGATTGAAATTAGAATAGAGTTGTTGTGAATCAATTGATAGATTACAAATCCTATCACGTAAATCTTGTTCAATTTTGGCGTATTTTAAAAATTCATTTAATGTATTAATAGATGATTCACGTCTTAATAATTCTTTCCTAAAATCAGGATTGATTCTACTCATTAAATGTTGAATTATAATTTTTTCTGATATGTTTGAATCAATTTCCAGGCATAAATTAATAATATCACCGTAGTAGAACGTAATTGGTTCATCTGGTAATTGTTTTCGCTGTTTTAATGTATCAAACTTTTTGTTTATTGATGTTGAAGAAAAATATCGATTTCAAAATGCAGTTTCGAAATCTGACCATTTTTTGAAATTATATTCATTATTATCGAACAACTACAAGTATATATTCAAAACTGTCATTGTTTAGCCTTCAGCTCTTGATCGATATTATTTCTAAAGCACTGTTCTCGTTTTATCATACTAAGCATGACATGTGTCTCCAGTCGCACCTATATGTAAATAAGCAAGAAGAACTTCGGATACGGATGTTGATATTCTTTTCTCTCACATTCCTTTCTACATCCACACTTGCAGTTTGTTTTCAAGGAAGAAAAAAACAAGGATAGTCGTCGTTACTAGAAGCGACAATCGAAGGGTTTTGATCAAAATATAACAGTATCTGCGAGAGAAAAAGAAAAAATATATACGACTAACTATTGGCAGTGACGGCTTAACGAATCTTCTGAGAAATAAACTCTCGAGACGACAATGAACTGTATAATACTAAGATTATTATGAGGCCAATGTGGACCCATCCTTTAATTTTTTTTCTTGTAAGTTATATTCAGGAAACTTGATACGGCTTTCTTGAATTGTTAGAAGGCTAATGATTAGAAAAGAGATAGCTCAGAAAATGAAAACCAGTATTGTGAGTCTGGATGATCCTACAAAAAACGTTTGAAGGTTAATGCACTAGTAGGAAAATTTCCATCACCATGAACGACAATGTCAAACTAGATTTGATTGAAGTCGATGCTGTGGAAGGTTTTGATGTTGTCGAAGGATCTCGTATTATCGGACAGTTGAGATCTGACGTCCAATCGTCACTACCGACACAATTTTTACAAACGAATAGTCCGAGCGGATCAACTCTATCTTTGATAACTTTCAATCGATTATAAATAGTTTGTGAACCGAAAAAGTTTTCTTGCCAATTCACTTCATTTGGATCGGCTTCGTTAGTGTAGCAGCTTGGCTGGGAACCAAACAATAATTGATCTAAAATATCTGTTCGACTTGTGACTTCCTTAGCTAAGTATTCTTTAATATCTTCAGATGTTGTATCTAACCAACCCTGGGAGTTAACCATATGAAGAAGAGCAGTACGCCATCCTGGATTGACGCTGTTATTTGTGTTGGATGTGTTTGATACTTGTCCACCGGCTACAATATGCCCAAGAAGAATTGATCCAGTTACCGATTGACCTCGCACTTGAGCAAAAACTTCAGCGACTTTTTCCGGTAAATTACGAACGATACTTTCGCGAATGAGACGTGAACTGAGTAGAACATTGAATCCAGTAGGGTTGGATGGATCCAATATGAGCGTAAAGTAATCATAAAATGATGGAACAGTGAAAATCGATGTCTTTCCAAAATCTAAATCGCTATTGTTAACTGCAAATTGATTTAATGTGTCATTGACTACTGTCACATTTCCATTAGGTACATGAAATACACCACTGAGTCTCATATCTAGCATACTGAAATAGCCAGACCAACTGGCATCAGCGACCACTGGTAATAATCGAATGAAATCTTCTGTCAGTCTTCTATATCGAGTTTCATTTGGTGTAGTCACGTCATATATAGCAGCAACAATAATTGGAGAAGAAAAAGTCCTTAGAACAACGGACAGTACAGCGGCATAGGTGCCGCCACCACCACCATTTAATGCCCAGAATAAGTCGCTGTTTTGACATATACTTACTGTTTGTCGTTGTCCATCCGCCGTTATAACATCATATTGGGTGTGGGTGTGGGTGTGGATGGATGTGGGTGTGTGGGTGTGGGTGTGGGTGTGTGGGTGTGGGTGTGGGTGTGTGGGTGTGGGTGTGTGGGTGTGTGGGTGTGTGGGTGTGTGGGTGTGTGTGTGGGTGTGTGTGTGTGGGTGTGTGTGTGTGGGTGTGTGGGTGTCGGTGTGGGGTATCTATTCACCCACACCCACACCCATCCACATTCACACCCACACCCACCCATCCACATTCACACCCACACCCACACCCACACCCACACCCCAGCCACCCACACCCACACCCACCCATCCACATTCACACCCACACCCACCCACACCCACACCCACACCCCAGCCACCCACACCCACACCCACACCCCAGCCACCCACACCCACACCCACACCCACACCCGCCACCTAGCATGTAACCACCAGTCACGCTCACTGTACTTGATGCTCCTCCAATTGCTGTCAAATTGAATTCATTCGGCCATCGATAAACTTCGCTCCATTGGACACCTGCACCTATTCGAGCAGCATTTGATACACTTGCATGACCACAAGATGAATACTGTTCAATCAATGTCATGGTTTTCATATGATGTAGCCATAAAAGCAGAGATCCAGCTGCCGTTGATCGACCTAAGTAATCGTGTCCAGTACTTTTGATAACTAAACGAAAATTATTCGTAGCAGCGAATCGAACGGTTTTTTGAACATGTTCTGGCAGTGTTGCATTAACAGCGAATACAGACACCGAACCTTGATTGCATGTTGTGCTATTTGTGAAAATTGAACATGAACTATTTTCCCAATTATGATTTTGCAGTGCACCAGCTTGATCACTACGCCATGTCGAATTCGACCATTGTGCGATGGCTAAAGCACATGCTTCGGCATTATATGGTTTCTCATTGCATACAACAGCCGAAGGCTCAGATGAGAGAAGACGTCCGTCAATGGTTTCATTGAATGATTGCCATACTAAAGCATCTGGCCAACATGATGAATTGCTCGCGAGACAACGGCAACGACGTTCTTCAATAGAATAATAAAATTTAACTATTCTATATGAGATGATTTAATATGAATGACTTACGGTCTATCACTAACTGTTGACTTAGAATGACCATGATGAAATACACGACAACGTAGACGAAGTAGATCGACATGTTCTGCACAATCTCTGTTATTATACAAACTGGTTTCATACCCATCTGTGAAGCGCATATATAGAGAGAGCATTATTCACCTTGATATTGATTCAGCATATCTTAATACTAAAGAATTTGCATTGATATTTGACACAATCTGCTTTATCAGTATTTTGAAGTGTGCAAATAGTAAATATAACTTCGATATCAATGCATTACAAATAAACTAATAGGAACAATCATTCATCCTAAAGAAGCTACATTTACTAAAGTCTGCACTCTCAATATTGTCATTGACTATTTGCAGTGTACTCTTTCGAGATGCGCCAGAGCAGTTTATATTCGATAACACTATATGCTCAGAGGATTTCACGTAAAACTCATCTATACTCAATTCCCAATGTCGTTTCTTTTGATCTGAAAATTTCGATGTTCGGCTTCATGCTGTCCATTTTTTTAGTCAATGACGAGACGATCGGCAATAGAATTTTTTTTCTGTTGCTTCCGAAACTGCTGTAATGAAAAATATTCATTTCTCTACGGAACATTCTCACCTCCTCAAGTAGATATTTATGATAGCTTGCTGAAAAATAAGACTTGCATATTTATCTCATACAGTAAATCTTGAATTTTTCTTTCTTAACAAACATGATACGGAGAATATGATATCATTAAAATCATCAGCTCAAAGTTGTTTTGTAAATAAACTAATATCCGGTGTAGTCTATTGAATAATATCCTAGATTCATAATGTACAAGTATATTTTGATTATATTCTTCATACGTTTTACTTTGACTATGGTATAATTGATAGTTTCTTTTGACGTCGAACTATATTTATTTTGGACTAGCAAAACTTTAAAAACTCAAAATGCATAACAATAAATTTCTTCTTGATATCTTTTTTGATATTAATACAATATCAACTAACTGAAGATATTCGAAAATATTTATTGAATTGAAACAATTGTGTTGAAAATGTGACTGATTTGATGAGCTTCGATGTCAAAATGCAAGAAGTCGAAGAGCTAATGGAATAACAATCGCGAAAAAAAAGCACGTACTTAATAATAAACTGAAATCAAAATTTCACTTCATTTGACTTGCTGTAAATGATACCACTAATCCCGTATTGGATGAAATGAGACGTGATGATTATTAAGTTGACTTTGTTTAACAATATCAGGTTTATCTGGTAATAACTTCTTTTTCGTGTGCAGCCACAAAATGCAGAAATAATAAATCTTGATCAAATGAGTAACATTTAAATCCAATGTTAATGTCAATAGTCGAGATATCTGGAATTGAGCTTAGTATTAATTGATTTTCAGAAGTAATGAATCATTATTTTGTGAAGAATAAACAGATTTGGATAATAAATCATATATAGTTTAAAAACCAGGACTTCTACTCTATTAATTTATAAGAAAAGTTTTCATTCTGAAAAATTAGCTATTCTTTTTACGCTAAGTATTTTCTGAAAAGATGTCTTCAGTAACTTGGATCGCCACTTTTTTTCACTAATCCGATATCGACGAAACTTCAAGAGAATGTTTTTCTATACCTGAATACATACATTCAGTTAACGCAAATGCTTCTGGGCTAAGATACAGGTTTTCAAAGTTTTCTCGTATTTCCTTTGTCGCAGAAGCACTTTGCGAGAAAAATAAAGACATATTTGAAATCAGCGTAGATAATTGTACCGATTGAATATACCGTTCATCAATTTTTAAAATAAAAAGTTTTTCATAGGAATTTAAGTTAAGGATCTCCCGTTAGAGATTTTCCAATTTTTATTATATTTATAAAAAAAATAATAATTAAACTTGATTTCAATCACACAAGCAGCAAAATAATCGACTGATATCAACGATAAAACAAAAAAAAAAAATAATTCGACATATGTATAGGTGTCAAACTTTGGACATATTCAAATTTCACCGAATGACAATTATTAATTTTTTCTTTTTGTTTTTAAAATATAAATACATAAATCAATCATATATCCGACTCATCATAAATGGAAAAAACACCCTAATAAAAATAACTAAAATCATTCATGTGATATCGTTTTATCGAGCACAATTTTTCCAATATTTTTCTTGCAAAGTTCATTAAGAGAATTAATACTATCGATAATCTACAACAAAGAAATAATATAAAAAGAAAAAACAAAACATTAAATTAATTCAAATTAACCTCAAGTATATTATTAAATAATATTTTAGCTTGATTTTCTGGTCTTGTTGAACATAATTGAATATACAATGCATACATATAACAATGTTTAATAATATGTATATTTTCTTGATCTTTTATTTGTTGATCTGGTTGACATATGACTAAAGTCATCATAAGACTATGGTCAACTTGTGTCATATTTAATGCATGAAGACGTTGAGAAAATTCATGTAAAGCGTCAGTAGTTGTTTTACCAATAAATTTATTCATAAAATAACGTGTATATGGTAATCCATTAGGTGTCATTATATAAGTTTCATTTTTATGAAATAATGGATAATTTAATACCTTTAAATTAGAAAATTAATTATTAAATTTCTCAAAATAAAACTTACGATCCAAAAATCAAATACACGATTATTTAGAATTTGAATAAAATCAATGGAATTTAATTCATTAAGACCAAGCGTCTGGAAATGGAAAAACTTATTGAATCATGAAATAGTAAATTTATTAAAAATAGAATTTCAGAATCAAGTTTAGAGCAGTTTTTGATTTGTTTTTACCCAATGAGAATTTTTTTTCATTACTACGAGAGACCGACAAGTTTCAGAGCTGTTACGACGTCCACGAGACGCTCCTAACAAGTTCAATTCTAATTTGGATCTAAGAAACTTTTGTTCTGTTACTGAAATTCTGTTCTCAAAACAAAGCAACAACAAATTTTTTTTTTGGACAGTTCAATTTCAGAAAATATATTGTTGAAACAGATCTTGCAATATGATCTGAACTTTGAAATGGGAGCTGGTCGATTCCTAATAATTATTTTCTCAATGAATGAAATCGAATCTTGGAGAAGAAGATTCATAATTTTTTATTAAATGAAATATGTCGAAATGATTAAGTCAATCATTAAAGATTAAAAACTCAAGAATACTATTATAATCTAACTTTTATCTAGACTAAATTCCAATTAGAGATTTTGTTTTTTTGAACTTGAAAATAAAATAATCTATTTACATCTCGTGCAAAACCAGTTAATTCATTAACATGTACTCCTATACTAGCTTGAACGCCATCCCACATGTGTTCATATGTTATATTGATGTCTGAATAATTTGTAATCTTCAATGAAAATAACAAAACCAAATATTTAATTATTTATTTAATAAAATTCATAATACTTACACCATCATTAATTAATTTAAACATTCGTTTAATAAGTATTCGTAATCTTTTTGTATGTTTTAAATAAGATTTAAATACATTCCATCGTATATAACGAAAAAATGACATAATTTCAAAATCAAATTCATAAATAAGAAATGGTTGACAAAGTTTTGGTAAAAGATATCTCATTATTTGAAGAATATTTTTCTTTGAATAATGTAAATTACAATTTAATCTATAATCAATTAAAATATTTTCATTTATATTTGATATATATTTTGACACAGTCATTTGAGTATTATTGTCTATTGATAAATCATTATTGAATTTAATTGAATTTGTCCAATTTTCAGATAATTTTAATGAATAGAGAACTGATGGTAAACGAAGTAATGATAAATTATGATTAAAATTATTCGATAATGATAGTGTTAATTCAATTAAATCAATAGAAGGAAATGGTTCTTTTAGAGACTGTAGGATTTCTAAAATAGAAAAAAAAAGCTTATGATTCAAATAAAACTTAAAGCAAAGTACATTTGAACTTATTTTAAAAATTATCTACCTGGAGAATCGACAAGCATATATGGATTTTTATTGTTTGATAGTTGTGTATTATCATTAATACTATTTCCTGATGGTGAAGATGATGTCGATTTAACCATTTGATTCGATGAATTCCCATCAAGATGAGGTGAAAATATCATCACTTCCATTTTATCATCTTCAATTTCATGATCTATATTTTTTTCTTGACATTCTTTATAGTAACATAATGCTTTTTCTTTGATTTTTTTTGGTATTCTACCCATTTTTACATTATCCATTGACATACCTTGTTCAATACATCGATTAAATCGACATGATTTACATCGATTACGTGTTCCTGTACTAACTATACATTTATTAGCAAACAAACATTGATTTGAAACACCTCGAGTAATTGATCGTTTGAAAAAACCCTAAATACATATTATTCTTATAGATGAAATAGCAAAAACAAAAAACGAAACATACTTTACATCCTTCACATGTAATTACACCATAATGAACTCCAGTAGCAACATCATGACAGATACGACTACAAAGGAAAAACAAACAGATATATTAAATGAAAAAATGATCTCGTGTTTATTTTTGATTTCTTTCAAATTTTTAATAACTTACCATTTTCCAAATGGAAAAGATTGTGTCTTTTTTATTGATTTTTTATCAGAAATCGGTAATAATTCTTGATGTTGATTTTGTGAACTAATTTGTTGTTCTTTTTGTTCTGATTGACAAGAAGATGTTGATATTTGTGTCGATGAAAAATTCATTGTCATTTCAATAAATAATTATAATAAATAACATTGTAAAATTAGTCAGATTCACCTAAGTATATAGAAGTGACTGGTTTATAGTGAACTACAATGTTGTTCTGTTGCCATATGTTCCTAACATTAAAGATGTCATTAGTTTGAGACGACAGATGCGCAAAAGAAAAGAAAAGAAAAGAAAAGAAAAGAAAAAAAGCAAAAAAAAACACGTCGGTATGTCAATATGTTCACGGACTAGTTAGGTTTCTGTTCTCTTTCATTTTATTATTTATTCGATGGATTGTTTGCGTGAGTAAAAAAAGAAGAAAA